CATTTTTTAAACTACATTTGTATGTTTGACACTAGAAACACACAGATTTGTTCTATTAMCCACTAAACTTGACCACATTTTAACCAGGAATGATATATTGTTTATAATCGTTTTTAGATGAACTGTAGACTGGACAGATATTTGTTTTAGTGGTAATTTTTAGCTAAGTTATGTTTTCACATCTTCRTCTTTAAGAAAACATGTTGGAGTTTGTATAACACGACTGTCTTTAGTAATGTTGGTAGAAATTTCCAGCGATACATAAAATGCTAATTGGGTTAGCTTTTCTATGGCATTTTCAGTGTTAGTTTTGGATTTATGCTAACTGCTAAACAGCARCCTGCAATTAACTGGGTTTTTGGTAGGCGATCGTGCATGAAAATACATCAGTGTGTACGTACATTAAACCACTGTTGTTTCTGTTTCAAGTTAAATTAATTAGGAAAATCTTAGTAATCCTTTTATCAAACTGTGAGGTCCCTAAAGATTCCCACTCATAAATAATAGTTAAAGTCAGTGATTGACTGGTGAYCTCTTACACAAACTCTGTGACCCTGAACAGCAATGAGCTGGTAATGAACTGGATGGATAAGAAAACCCACTGGCAGCTCTGTTTTGTGCACATTTAGGTTTAAAGTGAATCCTGTAAAAAGTACAAAGTGGCAACACCATTAATGTTTATTAAAAATAAATACTAGCCTTTATAGCACAAAGGTTTTTATACGCAGATAATCAGCTATGTCTAATGTGTAATACATACAGCTGCTGGAACCTAATCTAATAACAGTATGATAGTTACGTCCTTATTAAAGGTCTTTAACAACTCTTTAGCCAAATACACATCAATTAAATATTTTGAGCATCACTGCTGAACAGCAAAAAAACGTGAAGCTACAACTTTCTGGGRAACAATATCTTGACAAAACAGTCGTGAAATTGTTGAATAAAATTAAAACGATACGTGAGATTTGCAGAAACTCCAGAGGAACGCTGCACATGTTACTGTGATGCTGGACTTCTTCTGATGCTAATTAGCCAGCTAGCATTAGCATGTAGCCAACGCTGGATGTCAGAGCGCAGACTGACAGAAACTAGGGACRTTTTTACAACTAGGCTAACGTCACAATAATCCAAAATGAAGTTTAAATGCGTTGGAAAGGATTTATGCTGACTTATTCACCAAGTGAGCAGAATGTATAATCATTACTGAGCTAGTCGTTTTGGCTAGTTCGCTAGCTTCGAGCTAACGCGGTGAATGAGAGTGATGTGCTAACATGAGGTGGCTGCTGGCCCTTTCAACTGTACTGAAGAAATAAACTCCAGGTAGTGRGATGAATTACAGCGAAATTAAAGCACTTTAACTGAGGTTTGTTCTCCCCCCATGCTGGGAGAACATCCCGCTCACACCGATTCACAAGATAGAAGAAAACGAAAAAAAAAAAAAACGCGGCTAACTTAAACATGTTCCAGCTGACTTTATCCACTTTCCATGAACCTCCGGCGGACTCTGACTCCTACAAACAACATTTACCTTCCAGTTGCTGTATAATCTCTTGATGCGGCGGTAGTACGCTTCCTTGTCCAGGTTTACCGCCATGGCGAAGTCTCCGTTCGATCACACTCCAGCTCCCGGCTTCGCCTCTCAGCAGGCCGGACGGACACTCAGCGATGACGAGGAGTCAACCAACAACAACACGGCTGCTGTGCTGGGAGTCAAACACCGAGATGCTGCTGCCTTTACACTTTCACTAACCAGGCCTTTTTACCACACCAGTCATATACGAGAGGGAAAAAGCATGAGCATTAATACTTAAAATATTATTAAAATGTAAACCATCTCCTTGTTGTCGCCATACATACGCCACGRTGATATAATTAAGTGCCCTCCCCTGGTTTCCTCCGGGGATTCTCATCCCTCCCCCTCTGAGTGTTCAACATTAGCATAAATAATAAAACTATATAATCTTCCCAGACCAAAACTTTTTCTTTTTTTTTTCACCAAATCCTTATCAAAAGCAATAATACAGAAATAGAAACGTTTTGTAATTTTAGTTGTTTTTTTTTTTTTTTCATTTTACCATACTATTTTATTTTGTTTGTGTGGCGCATTTTAATTTACGCGACGCAACAGCGCCCCCTGTCGTTTGTTGACCATGATTCCTCTTTTTCCCGCCACTGCTTCTCCCGCCACCATCGTCGAAATATGTGGTGACGTAAATCTCGCGATTTTACACGGTRCTACCGTAGTAATTTAAAGGAGCAAGCAAGCCCGCCTTCAAACCTGTTGTGCGCGATTTTCATAAGCATTACAGCGAGGATGTGAGGCGCATTTATCCATCCCTCCCATTTTAGACAAATAAAATGAACTCGTTGCTTTTAAAGGCGTTTCTTCAAAAGAGAGAGGAAAACCCCACATTACTCTGGAACTGGCTAAAACATATTTGAAACAAATATGCTGTGGGTATGTGCTTCAAGGATAACTTGCCTGTAGAGCATTTTAAAACACCGTCCTAACAGCATGGTGGTTGTATTTCAGAAAATTTCACTCAATATTTTAAATTAATACACATATCTTGAGAACAGAATAAATAGCCAATAGTGACACTCCTGTTGCATTTGATGAAAAAGCAGAACTACAATCTGAATTTTAACATAAAATATTTTATTCCATAATTAAAACCATTTCCAGGACATCTGCAATGACCCCACTACAAACGGCATCAACTCCTCGGAGTTTGAACAGTTGTTTGGAAGCATTTTAACCATAATTATTATTAAATAATCAGTGATTCTTTAATTTATCATGTAAAAACACATTTGTACTGTATGCCCTTTACAGTTAAGTGGTGCCGTTAAGGCAGTGTTTCCGTCACTCCAACATTTACTTGATCCTCAAAGACACATTTGCACATATTTAAGTTCTTTAAACAGAGCAGGATAAATGAGAACGATGGTGGCACCTGTTTTCAGTTTTCCTTATGTCTGAAAATTTTCCATTCTTGCACATTTTTGAAAGAAGAAAAAGAGATTTAAAGAGGGTTTTGAGCTTGGTGCATTTTGGGTTTAAATGTCTGAAGCACTTCCTGTCCAGCTGACACAAACACACATTACTGAAACGGCAAATAATTAAAACTTTCAGACTTCATTAACAATGACTAGACATCAATGTAACAGCAAAAAGGGAAGAACTACACACTCACACGCATACACACAAAAGATTTGTTGAAATGAAGGTGGGCAAGATTCCTCCTGCACTTTATCCCATGAAAAACATCACAAAGTTTGTATAAAATGTTTCATTTTTTTTATCGGCTCCAACATTTAAATGTACAACAGTTGATCAGTGACGGGAGGAGCGCTGCCGCCCGTCTCCCAGCAGGAGCATCGCTACCGTCGCAGCACTTTCAGACCGAAGGAGACGAGCGTCGCAGGAAGCCTTCCAGTCCTCCCTCCTGCGAATGTGAGGTCGTTCTTGTCCCCGAGATAACGTGAGAGAGAGAGAGTGAGACGAGTAAAGCAGTACGGGCCAACACCTGAGTCAGTCGTTATTGTTCGCAGTACATGTGCTGTCTTTGAGTCTGTGCAGGTAAATGTCCTCTTCCTATGTGACCGTGGTGGAGTTTTGTCCTCGGATGGCGCACCAGGCCATGAACACGTCTCTGTGGATGAAAAACAAGAAGCCTTTTAGTCTCAGTGTTCTAATATTTATAATTTAAAAAAAATCTTAATTTCTATGGAACTAAATTGGTGCCATAATGTTAAAAAAATAAAATCGAAACGGATAGATAGATAGATAGATAGATAGATAGATAGATAGATAGATAGATAGATAGATAGATAGATAGATAGATAGA